TAGATGAAAAGAAGTCCCACAGCAGCAAATCCAGCATAGAGGAAGAAAGCTCCTGCAACAGAAAATAATAGATACATGAATATGAATATATATGGAGAGGCTTAAGTTGGAAAGAGTACTTGATTTTGACTTCTTTTTTTTTCTGGTCAGTCATGCATAATCACAGTATGAAATGGACCAAAAAATTACTATGAGCCTGGTTTACTCCAGTTGTTCCAGCTCTGTGAATATGATGCAATGTATCTTTCTAAACTCAAGTTCAGAAATTCAAGAATAATAGACCAGGCTCAGATGTAAGTTTAGCTTTGAAGCCTTTCCTCCCTTCCCTGACTAGAGGGAATTACTCTCTTCCATGTGCTATCACAGCATGTTGTTGGAGACCCCTAAAATAACCAAGAAATATTATAATTATGTATACACACGTATGCTTGCCTTGTCTATTACACTAGAGGCACTTTGAAGTCAGAAGAAGTTCCTTTCTTACTCATCTTGTAATTTCCAGAACCAAGTATAATGATGACATTGCAGAATGAATGCCTCAGTGGAATACATGGCAACTCCATCGTTCCAGTTTCTCATGTCCATGTCTCCATGACTCCATGTCTGGGAGTCATCCTTAACTTCTACCTTACTCTCATGCCTAACATCCAATCTGTTAGGAGATCCCATTGGTTCTACCTTCAAAATAGAACCCGAAGATGGCCACTTCTCACCACTGCCATAGATAAATGTGGTCTAAGGGCCATCTTCTCTCATCTGCACTATTGCAACAGTCTCCTAACTGGTCTCCTTGTTCCCTCTCTTGGACCTCAACAGTCCATTTTTTTTTCCATAGCACATGTCATCATCTGACATACTAGGATGTTTACTAGTTTGTTTTTTGTTTCCCTCCACTAGAATGTAAACTCCATGAAGTCAGAGAATTTTGTTTTGCTGTAAGATTATGTATGTCAATGCAGCACAGCCAGAAACACATTAATATTGCTAGTTTTATTTTCTAAGGGTCATGATAGCAAGCCTAGATGGATGAGATATATGAATGTATGACTTGTTTATATTCTCTACACATTTCCAAGATCGACTTTTAAAATAACTGAATTCGCAGCAGCCTAGCCAACATGGTGAAACCGGTCTCTACCAAACACACACACACACACACACACACACACATAATTGAATTGCCAATTTGAATATTAAAAACTCTACTTGTACTTTTGATGGTGGAAAACAACAAAGTAAAATGGAGCCCCTGTCTAATTTTAGGCTTTCAATCCAGACCATCATGTGTATGAGATGGGGGAAGTAAGATGAAAAATTAATGTGACAATTGGCTGGAGAAAGGATATCAGATTGGGAGTGGGAGTTTAAGTGTTGGCCATGTGACTTCTGGATAGTCATTTAACCTCTTCTCTGGGTCTCTGTTACCTCACTAAGTAAAATAAGGGGGTTTCTCAGCTCCTACTTAAGTGTTGGCAGTTTATGACTCTATACATTTTACAGCCAAAATCAGGAGCATGTATAGGAGATACAGTTAAGAGATGCTTGAGAGAGAGACCTGATCTGTGTAATGGGGAAAATAATTCCTGCTTTGCCCAACTGTAAAGAAGAGAAATAATGTATGTTACCATGCGCATTAGAATTCTGAATATCAGTTGCTCAAAAAAGTGATGGCCAGATTTTGTTAAATTCTACTAAATGACCAGGAAAGGAAGAGTTGCTATTAAGATACAGAATAAGAGATTAGTGTGACTAATTAATTGGGATGTCTTTACAAAAAGGGTGATACTGATAAGCTAGCTCTTGGAGAATGGGGGAATTTTGACAAAAAAAATGAAAGGAGATGAAGTCCTGTGTTCTGTCTGAGTACAGATAAGCAAGACTGTGGAGGTAGGAAGAGAAATGGAATCTTTAGCAGGGAGGGACAAAGATTGGATGGTAATTATGATGAAGATAAAGAAAAAATAAGTACAGATGGTAAAACATTTTAGACTAAACTACGCTTCTAAACTACAAAATCTGTAACAGCAAACCCAGTTTGACTTTTAAATATAATGGTATAGTTTATCTTTATCATTATCTTTCACCATTTGGGAACAGTAGCATAATTAGAAGTAACAAATCAAATCTGTCAGTGCTAAATTCCTATAGTTAAAAACATTAGTTGGGTTAGGAAGATTCCTGAAGTTGATTACAGATTCTTTCTTGTGACCTGGATTCCCAAAGCTGAATAATATCAAGGAATTGCTATTAAAATACAAGACCATTTTATAAAATCTGAGGAATCCAAAGCACGCAAATGCCAAAACTGCCTACTCAGTGTGAGTTCCAATGGTTAGACCTATGGCTAAGTCGCGGAGGAGTGTGGGCAGACCTGGGAGGCTGTGACCTGTTCCATGTCATGGTCAAATCAGTCACATATCTCAGTTTCTCATTTATTCCTCCCTTGGAATGAAAATGGAAAGAAAAAATGTCTGTAATGAGTCCATCAGGACTATTGAACACTGTAGATATTCCTCACCTTTATTCTAAGGATTTAAATCTTATTAGAGCCCTACATTAAGTTCTAGATTAAAACAACTATTTGACTGAATTACACAAATTGAGGACTCAAAGACCATGTTTGACTGAATTTCAGTAGTACCTCAAGAGAGAAGCTTTGACATAATGCCCCCCAAGGGATCTCTTTAGCCACATGTGCCGTATATAAAATGGCATATTGGTGATATGGCAATGATACTTTTTAGTAATAAACATTATTGAATGGGGGCACAAGGCAGACCTGTGTAAGCAATATGGTTGAGTAAGGAATCAAATTTTGAGATTTTATGAAACAATAAAAAAGGAGGCAACAAAGAAGATATAACTATTTCCAGAGGAACACATGATTAGGATGTATATTTATTAAATCAGGAATCTAAATGCATAACTTACATAAACCAGTAACATGTAGATTACAATGAGACACAAAGAGGGGGAAAAAGTAGCCTGAACGAACTATTTTTCTACTACTAGAGAGTAGTAGACCAAATGGACCAGTGCTCTGACATGAGAGAAGCTTAATGCAAGGCAAAATGCTTTTAGCTGTTTATTTTTGAAAGAATTCTGCTTATGCCCTATTTAAATTTCATTACTGTTGCCTCACTTTTCTCATGGTTTTCTGGCAGAATAAATTCAAGAAAGAGGAGCTTTGCTGTCAAAAGTATAGTCATGTAAACTTTTATTATTTGGTCTATGCCTTTCTATGAAAAATGCTTTCTCAGGATGCCAGCATATATTTAGGTCTTCATATATTTAAGTGTTCTCTAGAATCAGTAAACACGAGGAAATATTTATTCTGCTCATATTTATTATGTCATGAAGATGAGTTTATGAATTTATGGAAAAATTTTAATTGCCAAATGGGATCCAGCTGAATATACTAAATATATATCCAGTTTAAAATGCCAGTGCATTTCCTTTCCAAAAAAATAAATATTTCAAATGCCTTAAGTAGTGATTAGGAGAGAGAAAAGTTTTATGAAGATAATAAAAGCATTAGATAAATACTATGAACTAAAATCAAATACCAATTCAGCATGTTCAGAAGAGACGGGAATAGATTTTTATAATGTTTCATCATATTCATCATTCATCTACAAAATTTATCCATTTATTTATTCACTTGACAAACACTTTTTGGTGCTTACCAGGTGAACAGGATGCCTTGGGAGGAACTGGGAATGTGACAATGAACAAGGCACAGTCCTGGCCCTCCAGGGATTTATGGTCTAGTAGAGGGAGCTAGGGGCAGACAAACCTGTTCTTACGAAGAGGAATGATAAGTGCCCAGAGCACGGAATAAAGTGAGATTGCGGGGAGATCAGAGAAGGTCTTCTGGGAGAATGGTCTAAGCAGCAGGCATTCCATCTCTACCACAGAGACTTATGAGATTAGAATGAAACCTCACACTTCATCATGAATAATCCTACTGCAACCTATAAAGTCACGTGAACAATGCAGAAATCTTTTTTCTAAAAAGCAAAGTCTTTTCACTTTAGTACAAATGGATTCGAAGTAGCTCCCCGAAGTATTTTCCTGACTCAACCACTAAGCACTATTGTTTTTCATTTTGAATTATGGCCTCCATACATTTGCATTTGAAAACGTCTGTCACATTTACACTTTTGCAAGTGGTAAGTGCTGGTCTCAGAGGACAATGAAATGCACATGCACTGGCCTGAGCAGCACAGGTGATACAGTGGAAGGCATGGCCACAGCACAGAATACTGTTAAGCATTTGGGGAAGCTACTTTCAGCCCTATGCAGATTCTGCTCTTGGACTTGACGCTATACCTGTCACAGGATATCTCATTGGTCCTAGACTCCCTGCCTATATCTTTTTACCATTTTCTGTTTTTTAGGTTTCTGTGAAACTAAAAGCTATGGTGTAAAGACTTCCACCTGGGGAGAGAGCTGGGTTGGGAGAGGGGTTGGGTGACAGCCCTAAGCACTGCAGGACAAGAAGCAATGCTTCTTAGGATAGGAGAATCCCTCTTTTCTTTTCCAGACACATTTCCAATGCCTTTGGAGGACAAGAAAACCACATGGAGATACTTATAACAGCAACATATAACCACATAGTCTCAATCACAAATGATATTCACAAATGATATTATAGTATATCTAAAAATAGAGTAATAAAATAAAAACAAAACTATGTTGGAAAAAATATTATCTTACCATAGTATGTAAGATATTCTGCTGTGTGTAAAAATGTTAGTGAAACCAGAACATTGAAAATCCAGTTTATTCCAGATGAACATGCATTTCCTGTACTTCTTGCCCAAAGGGGATATATTTCAGAATTCACAGTCCAAGGCATTGGTCCCATTCCTGAGAAATAAAACATTAAAAACTTCAGTAAAATAGCATGTAAGAAATTTGAAAAATTACAGTTTATGTACTCCAAAAAGAGGCAATTCAATTAATGCAACAGTAATAACAAAGTCTTTGTTTACCAGGTGCAAAGAAAACAAGATATAAAATAAGGCCCAGAAGTGCAGTCCAGGAATATGGAGTAGGGCAGAAATTGTAAGCCCAAAATATGTCTTCTGTTTTGAACTTGGTTTCATTTTCACACCTGAAAAATAATGCAATGTAAGTATTAACTTAATGTTTTAGACTACAGTTGCAGAATTCAATGTGATCATATATATATTTGGAAATTCCTTAATGTCTTAAGAAAAATAGTCCAAAATGTTTTTCTTAAAAAATAAGAACTAAATATACAGTATTAGATATGCAAGCTCACACAGGAATTTTAGAGCTAAGTATAATTCAAGAGCAAAACAAAGACACTGTTTTATAACCATTTCACATAAATTAGACATGATTTCCAATTAGTCCCTGGAAGCTGCAGTAATACTTCAGTACCACTGAGAGTCAGTATGTGGCAGTGAAAAGACCATGGAATTTGCAATCAGGACAAGATTCAAATTTCAGAGCCAAATACTTTTCATCTGATAAAATGGGGATAATACTTTGTAGACTATTTTATGGATTAGAAGGGTAACCTGTAAAGGGTGATGGGGTGGATGAGGGAAGCAAATGATTCTATCTGATTCCAAATAGCCCTCTCCCTTCCTGCTGTGTGTTCTTACTTCTCTACCAGTCACTCCCTGATGACCTTGCCTTCTTAATCCATAGTAAAGCAAAGTGTCCTACAGTTTAGATCGATTCTGAAGTTGAACTTCCAATTCTTTACCTTAATTGCACCTGAAGATATTACCAGACTCAAAAACATTCCTATCTGCTATTGTCAATTTAGAGTATTGTCCTGTCTCCTTCAACCTCTATCTTTGAACCTTGTCATCCAAGCCCTATTGTTACAGTATTTATGAACTCATCATAACATTCCACCTGTCTTAGGATTTGGGTGCCTGATCAGTCTACCTCCTCTCATCCCCTGCCACATTCATTTATTTTTAATTCATTGGTCTCATTTAAAAAAATTATTTTAAGTTCCAGGATACATGCGCAGGATGTGCAGGTTTGTTACATAGGTAAATGTGTGCGGCAGTGGTTTGCTGCATCCATCAACCCATCACCTAGGTATTAAGCCCCATATGCATTATCTATTTATCCTGATGCTCTCCCTCCTCCCAGCCCCCACAGGCCCTAGTGTGCATTGTTCCCTTCTCTGTGTCAATGTGTTCTCATTGTTCAGCTCCCACTTATAAGTGAAAACATGTAGTGTGTGGTTTTCTGTGCTCCGTATAATGCACTGGCCTCATAATTCCTTATTTAATCTCCAGAACTATAGAAAGAGCACTTTATAGTTTCCTTGATTTGGAACTATTTTACTTCAGACTTAGAGCCTTCCTTTTCTGATCACAACCACCACGTTGTTTATCTCCTCATTTCTGATAATCTGTGCTACACCCAGAACTGCCTTTGGATTATCTTTTCAGTATTCATTTACCTCACTGCTCAGCTTACACCATGCCAATACAGGCATAACTTGGAGATATTCTGAGGTCAGTTCCAGACCACTGCAATAAAGTGGGTCACACAAATTTTTTGGTTTCCCACTGCATATAAAAGCTATGTTCCCATGAAAGTGTAGTCTATTAAGTGTTCAATAACATTGTCTAAAAATGTACAAATCTTAATTTTAAAATATTTTATTGCTAAAAAATGCTAACGATCATCTGCACCTTCCATGAGTCATCTTTGTGGTGGAGGGTCTTGCCTCAATGTTGAGGGCTGCTGACTGATTAGGGCAGAAGTTGCTGAAGGCTGGGGTGGCTGTGGCAATTTCTCAAAATAAGACAAGGAAGTTTGTCAAATTGACTGATTTTTCCCTTCACTAAATATTTCTCTGTAGCATGCATTGATGTTTGATAGCATTTTACCCAGATAACTTCTTTCAAAATTGCAGTCAATCCTCTCAAACTGTGCTACTGCTTCGTCAACTAAGTTCATGTGATACTCTAAATCCTTTGATATCATTTCAACAATGTTCATAGCACTTTCACCAGGAGTAGATTCCATCTCAGAAACTACTTTCTTTGTTCCTCCTTTATCCGTTCAAGTTTTATTATGAGATTGCAGCAATTCAGTCACATCTTCAGCCTCCACTTCTACAATCGTTCTCTTGCTGTTTTTCACTATATCTGAAGTTACTTTCTCCACTAAAGTCTTCAGCCCTTTAAAGTCATCCATGAAGGTTGGAATCAACTTCTTGCAAACTTCCAAACTATTCATTTGGTATTTTGACCTCCTCCCATGAATCACAAATGTTTTTAATGGCATCCAGAATAGTGAATCCTTTCCAGAACATTTTCACTTTACTTGGCCCAGATCCATCTGAGAAATCACTATCTATGGCAGCTATGGCCTATGAAATGCATTTTTTAAATAATAAGACTTGAAAGTTGAAGTGACTCCTTGATGCAAGGGCTGCAGAATGGATGCTGTGTTAGCAGGTATGAAAACAACATTCATCTTGTACATCTCCATCAGAGCCCTTGAGTGACCAGTGTCCTTGTCAATCAGCAGTAATATTTTGAAAGGAATCTTTTTTTTTTCTCCTGAGCAGTAGATCTCCATAGTGGCTTAAAATATTCACCAAACTATGCTGTAAATATAAGTGCTGTCGTCCAGGTTTTGTTGTTTCATTTATAGGGCACAGGCTGAATAGATTTATCCCTTCTTAAGGGCTCTAGGATTTTTGGAGCGGCAAATGAGCATTGGCTTCAACTTAAAAGTCACCAGCTGCATTATCTCCTAACAAGAGACCCAGCATGTCCTTTGAAGCTAGGCATTGGCTTCTCCTCTCTAGCTATGAGAGTGCTGGATGGTGTCTTCTTCCAACAGAAGGCAGTTTCATCTACATTGAAAAATCTGTTGTTTAGTATAGCCACCTGATATGGCTTGACTGTGTCTCCACCCAAATCTCATGTTGAATTGTAGTTTCCATAATCTCCATGTTGTGGGAGAAACCCAGTGGGAGGTAATTGAATCGGGGGTGGTTACCCTCATGCTGTTCTCATGATAGTGAGTTCTCATGAGATATGATGGTTTTATAAAGGGCTTTTCCCCTTTTTACTTGGCACTTCTCCTTCCTGCCACCATGTGAAGAGGACATGTTTGCTTCCCCTTCCTCCATGATTGTAAGTTTTCTCAGGCTTCCCCAGCCCTGCAGAACTGTGAGTCAATTAAACCTCCTTCCTTTATAAACCACCCAGTCTTAGGCAGTTATATACAGCAGCGTGAGACCAGACTAATACACTACCTTTATTAGATATCTTAGGTAGATGTTGTGGATAACTTGAGGCAGCTTCTCCATCAACACTTGCTGCCTCACTTCAAACAAGGTGTGAAGTGAAGACAGACAGCTTCTTTCCTTAACCCTCATGAACCAACCTCTGCTAGCCTCAAACTTTTTTTCTGCAGCTTCCTCCCCTCTCTCAGCCTTCATAGAATTAAATGGAATTAGAGACTTATTCTGGATTAGACTTGTGCTTAAGGGAATGTTGTGGCTGGTTTGATCATCTATCCAGACCACTCAAACTTTCTTCATATCGGCAAAAAGCCTGTTTCACTTTCTTATCATTTGTGTGTTCACTGGAGTAGCACTTTTAATATCCTTTAAGAATTTTCTTTTGTAGTCACAATTTGGCTATTTGGTGCAAGAGGCCTAGCTTTCAGCCTGTCTCAGCTTTCAATATGCCTTCCTCATTAATCTCAATTATTTCTAGCTTTTGATTTAAAGTGAGAGTCGTGCTACTATTCCTATCACTTGAACATTTAGAGGCCATCGTAGAGTTATTAATTGTAGTTTCTTAGGGAATAGAGAGGCTCCAGGAGAGGGAGACAAAAAAGGAAATGGCTGGTTGGTGGAGTGGTCAGAACACACACAACATTTACAATTAACTTTGACGTCTTATACGGGTGCAGTTTGTGATGCCCGACAACGATTACAATAGTAACATTAAAGATCACTGATCATCATAACAGATATAATAATGAAAAAGCCTGAAATAATGTGACATAAAGGCACTAAATGAGCACATACTGTTGGAAATATGGTGCCAATAGACTGGCTTGTTGCAGGGCTGCCGGAAACCTTTAGTTAGTAAAACAAAATGCAATGTCTGTGAAGTGCAATGATGGCAAACACAATAAAATGAAGTATATACTGTCTTCACTGGCCTCTAGAATCCATTCTTCCTCTATTTTTGTCTGCCATTTTTCACCATTTGCATTCCCAACCCGGTGTGGCATTATTAACTTTCAACAACCACTTCTCAGAAACTGAGCAGTGTTACGAAACCATGCTGTTGGGCTCTATTAAAAGTTCATACTATTTTATCTCAGTTGGTTCCCTAATGATGCTTATTTTATCCTTTATAGTCTTCTCTACTGAATTATCTGCTTATCTAACAGCAGACATTCCATAAACTTTTGTCAACTATTGCCTCAATTAATTAAAATATTTCTTACCATCTTGTAGTCCTGAAATCTTTCCTTCTGTTTCCTATGTAGATGAACTTACCTCCTTTTTGGGGAAGATTTATCAATTTCAGTTGAGAAAAATAAAATAAAACCAGGAATTTGGAGGTGCTTTGTAGGACTTGATACATTTGAATCTGAAGAACAGATCTTTTAACAATTGGAATTCTTTTAAAAGAATTGAGGATCATTACTTTGAATATCAATTTTTCTCTATCAGCTTCTACTTTTCTATATTTTTCTCTCAATATTTGAGAAAAGAAAAAAGTTTTTTAAAAAACATTGTAGGTAGGCTTCCTTCCTCCCTCCAGTGGTACATGTCTTTCACCCTTTCTGAGGACTGCCCCTCTTATCAGTGGTCTTGCATCTCATTCTCCTGCCTCTTCTGGGGTCACATTCCATCAATATCTCTTCTTTTCCTGCCCTATTTAGTTTCGTACTGCTTGAGCCTTCCCTTCTGTCTACAATACACAAGGTCTCTCCTACTCAAATGTTCAACTCCTCTCATATTACTACAACTAGCTCTCCTGAAATACCAGAAGTTTATACTCATGAGCTCTACCTGATTACACACTCCTTCTTTACAGCCCAACTCTCCCACCCTCCCAGATGCTGGCTAAGTCTTACATGTTTTTTTTTCC